CATTGTCCAACTCTCTGATGCATAACAAGTGATACCAAAGACCATGGCCTGTATCAGATGCACCTTAGTCTCCAAAGAGACACCATTGCCCTTCAGTAACAGTACAGCACATCAAAATTGGGAGAAACAGAATCCAAGCAAAGAAGGTAGAATACAATTTACATAGTTTTGGCAAAGGTGAATAGAGTTAAGCAGGAGGGTAAATTCTTCATATCTGTGCCTTTTCAGCTATGAGTCATTTCCAAATGGACGGCATACAGCAACAAGGCCTTTGATTTAGAAATGTTATTCCTAGGAATTTAAGGAAATAATCGCAGATATCTAGAAATATATAACCTCTGGAATTATTCATCATTATAGTGTTTAAGAGAGGAAACATTCATTATCAAAATGTTCATTAAGAGAAGATTAATTGTCCACAGTAATTTTTATAATAAGATATTAATGAAGCTCTTATTATTGAGGGGAAAAAAGTTACCAGACTAACTGGTTCTAATTTATTTTAGAAATCTGAATTGTACTGGGAAAAATTAGATTACCAAAGTTTGAAAAAATACTGAACCAGAAGTAAAATTTCAGGGTAAAAGGTGACTAAATGTTAAAAACAGTGTAGTCAGTGTGAGTACAGTGGCCTCTTAGCTCCACTATTGTGTTGAGATGCCTCCTCACAGCATCAGAAGCACAAAACCAGTTCTCATGAGCTTAGACACGCACCAGCTTCTATCAGTTCAGACACCAGCTTGCTCTCGCAGCCCTCAATCTGTTAACCTCTTGCAGTGGCCACACAGAACTCAAAATTATGGCATTTATCAGAGAAACCACAGCTTACTATTTAAATCAGAAATTCAGGCTACAGTTCTGTAGTTAGGGTAGCTTCTCAGAGGTGCATGTGTATAGCCTTCTAACCTTCAGCCTTGCTGGGCCCTGCCTCTCAGCTCTTGGCCAGTATTACAATGTTCTTTTAGTTCTGCCAATGAGGGCATCTCACTCCTACCCTTCTCCAGTAATCCTAGGTGAAGGCCCTCTGCTTTGGTCCCATGGGCTACCAGTTTAGTTCAGTTCTGTCTCACCACAGGCTCTGATTCTCTGCCACTCCTCCTCTTGGTCTGGTGTAGGTCTCAGTCTTATTTAGGAAGCTGGCCTTATTAAAGGCCCCACCATTTTCTCTGCTTCTTAATGGTAGCAATATTCCCTTTTCTTCCCCTGAACTAAGTATGTAGGCCTGGCAGGATTACAAAACTGACTGATTCCCTCTTTAATGGTCTCCACATCTTATTTGCATTTTCTTCTCCAAAGGTGCTTTTACATTATTTTGTTATTATTACCAAGCTATCCTCTTAGAAGGATCACAAACATTGCACATTTGTGTGGTCCTATTCAGTCCTGTGATGAAAGCCAAAGCCAATGGCTTTGAATAACCCACTCTGTAGACATCACTATGAGCCACGGGCTTTAAAAAAAATGTCGTTAAGTGCCATCAAGTCGAGCACAACTTGACCCTATAAAAAAAGGCCTGAACCCTGTCCTATATCTGTTGTCATTTCTGTACATTCATAGAGTTTCCAGAGGCATGTTGTTTAAGAAGTAGATGCCACTCCACTCTGCTTCCAAGCCTGTCTCAGTCTGGTAGCTCCACCAAACACTGTCCATGATAGGTAACCATTATGGCATTTGACACACCAGTGACACAGCATTCAGCATCACCACAACCCCAGGTTACTTCAGTACAGCAAATTGACAGACCAGTGCTGTACCACTTAGAAGAATGTTCATCCCAACACAATTTACACCAGGCCCAAGGGCCCAACTGCCAATTTTAAATACAAGGCCTGCCTACCAGGTCCTGGTTGACTCTGAACAAGAGGTTTCCAGCCCTCAGCTCATTGTTAGCTAAATTCTCCAAATCCTGTCAGCTCACACCTGATTGCAAATGAAAAAAAAACACACCACAACAACCAGACAGTTCATACCCAACCCTCAACCAAAACAAGAGCCTTGAAATACCATTTATATACAATAAACTGCACACAGAGTGTACAATTTGCCACGTTTTGGCAAATACACACACACACACATATAATATGACTAAGGATGACAGAAGAAGAATTGATGCCTTGAATTGTGCTGGAGAAGAGTCTTGAACATACCATGGACTGCCAGGAAAACAAAGAGGTCTATCTTGGAGAGGGTGAAACCAAGTCTCTCCTTGGAAGCTAGGATTTTGAAGCTCTGTCTCACATACTTTGGGCACATGGCCAAGAGAGACCCGTCCTGGGAGAAGGACATCAAGCTCCGAAGGGTGGATGGACAGCGCAGGAGAGGAAAACTTCAGATGAGATGGATTGATACAGTAACCGGGGCAGTTGGGGTTGGTGTGTCAGAGTCAGTGAGACTGTCTTAGGACAGGGCAGGCTCCAGAGCTGCAGATGACTTGACAGCACCTAACAGTAATCTAAAACTAAAACCATGTCAAGATAGTTTTGTTTCTATCAACATAACAAGCTCAATTTCTGTTAGCTTCAAAAGCTTATGCTACTTAACAGTTTGTCCCCCTTTTACCCTGTCCTCAGGCAGCCACCTGTCTCTTTCCTACCATTTTGCAAAAGATTTGTTTGAATCTTCTTGAATTTTATATAAGTGATATGCTTCGTGTCTGGATTTTTTAAGCATGAAAATTTGACATTTCTCCATGCTCTGCATTTACCAGTGTGTAGTGTGTTGTGGGGAGTAGTGTGTAATTATCAGTAATCCTTGATCTGTGAACTTTGGTAAATGGTGATAGTTGTGGAAGGGCTCCAGGTCTTTTGTTCATGGGGTCGCTATGAGTCGTGTTTGACTCAGTGGCAGACAACAACACAACAACAATCCTTGATTTAAGACATGTTTGAGTCACACAGGTCACATTTATAATCTTCTGTTTGTTTTTATTTTTATAAATTTTAAATTATATGTCATTAGTAACCTGCATGCAGTATTTCAGCAATTAATTTGCTGATGTTATTTACAGATGTTCATTCAGTGTTACAATTTTCTGTTCAAAACATGGTTGTATAGCAGTGAAAACTGAAAATGTAGTTATTCAACTTAAATAAAAACTGACTTAGGACCTAAGTTGAATACAACTGTATATGGTTATGCCACATTTTGTATTTGAGCTTTAATTGGTGAACATATATATGGGCTATTTCACGTTTTTGACTGTTAGAAATAAAAAAAATGCTATGAACTTCTATACATAAGTCTTTATGCCAGTTTGTTTTCTCTTGTGTAAATATTTAGCTGTGAAATTGACGGGCTGTCTGATAGATGGATGTTAACTTTCTCACATATAAACTGTTGAATTGTTTTCCAAAGTCATTAGACCAGTTTACATTCCTGCCTACTGTGAGTAGTGGGAATATATTTCACTCATTCTTGAAATAGATCTTAGATTTCAAAAGCAAATCATTGATTAAAACATGGAGGTAAGGAGCTAACCTGATGTTACTTGTGCTCAGTCCCTGTTAGTAGTGCTGTTACTGTGATTATTGATAGCTTCTTCAGTCTTTAATAGCAGTGTAGCACATTTGTGACTTACTCGTCACAGATTCTAGGGATAAACAGGCTAGAATATAAAATTCAAGTCACATTTTAAAAAAACCTCAACACAGAACCCCTGCTTTTGAGTAGATTCTGATTCCCGGCCCCCTTCGAGGCTGTAATCTTTGTGTGAGTGGACAGCTTAATCTTTCTCTCACTGAGCAGCTGGTGTTTTCAATCCACTGACCTTTTGGTCAGCAGCACAGCATTCTATGCACTCCGCTTCCAGAGTTGCATCTAAGTCATATATTATATAAAAATTCTCCACATTCATTAAAAAACTCTTCTTTCCTGTCCTGTAGAGAGAGGGCAGTAGGACTTTAAGGTTGATTTCTTGGCATTATGGTAAAACAAGTTAAAGCTTGGCAGTTGTTGCATTTATGGCTTTTATATGACATTTCAGCTCTCAGTGACCTTTCATTATTTAGATGCTGCTTAATTATGTGTCAAGGTCTGAAAGTATAGTATCAATTCAAATGAGACTATAATTTTTAAAAGAAAGATACTGACTTCTGCTTATTGGAAATGCTTTTCTTACACAGAGGGCTCCCCTTCGATCTGGGATATAGAATTTGCTAAGCAGTTAGCTGCCGTGACTGAGCAGCCCATCCAGAATGGCTTTGAAGAGATGATCCAGTGGACTAAAGAGGGGAAGCTGTGGGAGT